TTAGAAAATGAAATTTACATAGGCCAGTTTTATTGCAGTAGTGTTAAAAGTTACCATTTGTCATCAAACTGTAAACCTTTGTTTAAATTTATTCTATTATTTAATCATATTTTTAATTTAAAATATATCCTCTTGATCTCAAATTACTAGTGTGTTGCCCCTGTACATCATACTTTTCCTGATGACAGCAGTCATGCCACTCATCTATTTAACTGCATTCTGGTACAGTGGCTAGAATAATGTAGTGTGTCAATTGAGCTTCGGGTGGTGTCTATTATCCGGATGCTTGCCGCTAGGAGGGCTGCAATTAGCGGCAATGTTAAGTAGGCTTTGAGAAGTCGTTAGATGAATTATCAAGAATTATTAATACAATACATTTTAATGTTTTTAAAATTTACTTTCTAGTTAATGTAATTATGAATTGACATATAAACTAAGAAAATTGAGTCCGAAGATGTGTAAAAATGTATTTATAAAGTATTGAATCCAGTCAAAACAATCATGTACGAAGCATATTTGTTTTAAATACATATCTTTATTTACGCTGGCTAACATATATCAGACCTCTCCATAAGTACACATAATACATACAAATGAAAATACTGCATAAGAAATTACAAAAATGAATAAAAATAGTGTAACATTCAATCACTATAATATAATCACAGTTTTGCATTTCTTACATCAAATATCTGCATTATAGCAGAATTCAATGACAAAGTCATAATCAGACCAGAAATGCAACATTGAAAACGTTTTAAAAAATATGAATTCTTTGTATTGTGAACATAAAGATATCTTAACTGACTGGCCAACATAAATATTGATTAATAATATGTTTCAATATTGGTGATTTGCTTTTTGTATTTGTTACAATATGAATCTTTGAGTACTAAGTTTTAGCTCTGTGGAGGACTTATCACACTGTTGACATTGTCGGAATAATCACACAGAAGTGGGTAGATACAGGTTTATTATGACAACGATGTACGGCTGAAGGGGGACAGACAACCTGTCTCCCTCTTCAGCCGTATTTGTTACAATTTGGTGGGTTTATAGGCATCTACAAAATATAAGCAGTTTTTTGTTACAAAAATTTGGGTTTATGATTAAAATAGTTCAAAATTACATTTTTATACATACATGAAAAGAACTGTACATTCTATTTTGTTGCTGATGCGTGGATGACTCACTCATGACTCTAACATTGGATCTGAATCTTCTGTAATGATTTTTCCCCCCTACTGTTTTAGTGTTTTTAGTTTCAGCAGAAAATAAGAATTGTCTAATTGATCTTTTTACAGGTGGTTTTACGTGGCTATAATACTGGATAATCTGCAAATTTCACTGGAACTTTTCGTTCAATTAAAACTTCTTCACCATTAACAATATTCTTCCAACTTCGAATTATAAAACGTTTTCAAAGTGGAGTTCTCACACACTTTGTGCCACGGTTCCAATGTAAGGTCGTTTATTATCGCATTTTCCCACATTTTTCTACAATCATTGTTTTAGGTATGGCGAAGGGAGTTCTTTTTCGGGTCAGGAACGGTATTCAGACTTAGAAAATGGCACAAAACAGGTGCTGGAGTCTTTTCTTTTTATTTCCCTAATCCATTTAAATACTTAATGTAATAAATATAACTTAAAATATTACACTTTCTGATTCGCTAGCGGATAACTCCAATTGCTTGAAAAGATTTATTAGTGTTACCAAAGTCTATAAACATAAGGTCAAAACATGATACTGTGATGCATTTTGACAGTTGCCATGTTGGTGCTCTTTTGGTGTGTATGGTGTTTTTAGAGTAAAGTTGATTTTGTTTCTTTCAATCTCAATTAGTTGTCTTGAAAAGACTCAGATTTCTGCAAAACAGTCATTTCAAATAAGAATGTTGCAATAGTACTAACAAAGAACAAACTATTTTGAGAACAAACATCCTTTGGGTCTAATAAATTTACATCTGTAATTTTACAAGTACAGAAAAATTAAGTATAATGAAAGTACAGATCATTTCATGTCTTGACCGGGCAGTGGTCAGTGCTTGGTTGGGGCTCTAAAAGTTTATAAAGCTCGAGCCCTTTTTTTGTAACGCACAGTAATTTTGTCAAAGATTCGTCAACAGTCCGTTTCTTTTTTCTAAATACTGTAGACCGTCTCCTGCACGTTTTTTACAGCCTGCATAAAATTCATTAAATGAGCTGTAGATTCAATAGCTGACTAATACTGTATAAAGAAAGTAACCAATGACTGTATCCATTTCCAGTGAATGAGCATCTAGTTTTTGGTAGTGATATATGAAGGTAGTTTCTGAAAAGCTTTGGTTAAATGACTATATGACATTTGCAAAAATTGTTGATTGTAAAAGATGATTTAAAAAGAAGAATCAATGAACTAGAACTCTTATATTCTCTGTCAAGTTTGAAAATTATTTTGAAGTAAATATGATTGTAATATCTGAATTTGTGGATTCAGAGTTAAAATAATAAAAAAATGAATTAGATAACAAATAATATAGTGATAACATTTGATATTTGATCAAGGTTAAATGCAGAATCGTCTACAACAGTCACAGTTCATTGTGTTGTATTAAACATTAAAAGGGGATCAGTGATTTTTCCCGGGTCCGGAGAAAACTTGTGGGTCCATAGTCGTTACCATCCCTATAAATTAATGTTATTAGTGTGGTTTAGTTGGTTACGCTATATGTGGGTAATTTTTCGAGGTGGATGCTCCCGGGATGATTTTTACGGGAAACTGTTCCAGATTTAGGTGTTAAAAATGTGAAGAAAACCCAGAAACCACTTGGCGAGGCATGAACACACTATCATTGTTCAGTGGTTTTATCCACTAGGACACTGGTGGGCTAAATTAATGTTATCTTTAACAAAAAATAAAATCTTTAAGACTGCCATTCATTAATAAATAAACAGTTTTATGTATTTTATATGTTCAAAAAATGGAAAAAAGAGGGCCACTCTACCCTGTTTCATATCAAGTTTTCGATTACCTTGGCACAAAGCCATGTTTCAAAATATATAATCAATGCTTTCAGAAACTGAAACTAGTAAATATTTTCTAAAATTATTGTTACGAGAGAAAATAATATAATATGAAAATATCCGATAACATTGATGAATTGCATCTTTTCTAAAATTTTCATTTATAGATTTTTATGTTGTTAGTTAACTGCGACATAAAAATATCATTGCAAAATCATGCTTATATAATACAAATTGTTCAAACCGGCTATCATTGCGTAGGCGTGACAATGAGTAAACGTATTTTGTGAAGCAGCGCTGTCCAGAATAAAATCTTTTAAAAATAGGCTATTAGAATAAAATAGATTATTAAGAATATTTTTACAAAAAAAATGTGCATTATTATTAGATTTTAATGTATTTAAATAGTCTTTTAGAGGGTTTTTTTTAATAGCAGTTTCTTTGTGCAATGTTTCTATGGCACATCAGCAAAAATTTTGAAGATTTTCAAAAATCATTTCTTTAATAAAAATGCTGTTATTGAAAATTAATATGGCAATGCTTTAATATAGTATAAGTGTACAGAAGAGAATTTGAGAATTAATTTAGCACTTTTTAAAGTACATTTTGAAGTTGTGAAAAGTTCAGATCCCTGAAGAAACAATTTGAAATTGTTGACGAAAACTTTTATAGTTGATTAAAATTCAAAATGAAATCAAATGACAATGTTTGAAAAAAATGAAAATGGAATATTAACTATGATACGTTCTGGTTCTGGATGATAGGAATCAGGTTTTAATGATATATTCTTTTAGTGGTGTTAGTCATTTTCTGAAAATATTTTTTAAATTAGATGTTTTCTTTTAGGAAGTAAAAGGAATAAAAGTAATTTGTTAGAATCATTTATATTAATAGTAGAAGTATATGGAATATTGCAATTATATTTTTGTGGATTAAATTAATTTATTCCAAACAATAAAAATATTGTTGAAGGTTAGTGAAAGTAGTTAAATAAATACTGTTATATTTTTTTTGACATGTCTTTTGTAATAGTGTTTGATTATAAAAAAAATCTTAAAATTTAAAAAATAACATGAATTCTTGGAAGTTCATAAATAGTTAATCGAGGCCTTCCTGCTGATCTTTCCATATCTGGTGTCACCATTTATCTATTTAATTCTGTTCTCAAGATTAATAAATTCAATTGAAAATATCAAACTGATGATAAATCTTTTAACTTTTACTTTTCATATTTCTGTTTTGATTTTATTTGATTAAAAATCAAAATTATGATTCAGTTGATTGTATTCATCACAAATGTTAAGAATTTCCCCAAACTTGTTTAAGAGCTACACTTCCATTTAATTATCTTATGTGATTTTTTTCATTAATTTCTAGTTATATGCTTATATACCTTCTATACTCAACCCTTAATAAATTTCTTTTAGCATATTTCATGTCACAATTTTTAATATATATATGTGTCTGTCTGTTGATATTCCAAAATAATTTAAGATTAATTTTGTTTTATTCATGAACTATATATAGTAATTCTTTTTATATTTCAATGTTTAGTTAGTTCTGTTTAGTACTTTTTTAAATAAAGGTTCTTGTTTAATATTTATAACTAATGTTTTCTATTATCATTTGCTGATTTTCTTGAACATTTCTATGTTAAATATTATAATTTTTTAAATTAATCTATTATTTGCATATAATACTCTTTTTTATTTAACTTTTTTATCAATTTAAAAATGAAGTGTTAAACAATTTCCATAAAAAGAAAAATTATCTGTGAAAATTTTTGAATAGCGATAATTACTTAGAAAATTTTACATGTTTTGTGAATGAAATTACACACAAGTGCTATTAATTAATTAATATATTTTTTCTAAATATTTTTCGGGAGACTTCTGATTCAATAATTAAACAAATAATTATTTTTTTGTTGTTTCAAATTTTAGAAAGTGAAGTTTACTTATTTCAAAACTAAGCATTAGCTAGTTTTAANAAAAGATGGAGACGAACATTTAGTTTGAAACGGACACAACAAATTGATACAAAAAGTATTGAACAGAAGAATGTAATAACAGTATGTATGATTTAATTTCTAAAGATTTTAAGATTAAAAAAAATTATTAAAATTCTATACAGTACTTAGGTACATATTATATATGTTACCGGCCAAACCCAATTTCAGGCCAACTAGTTTATCCTATGCATGTCAGGATATACTAGTTTAGCCTAGGACAGTCTAATTTGGCCTAAATACTTTAGGTTTAACTAGTTTGTCCTAGGCCGAACTGATTTAGAATTATTATTTAAGTCAGACCTGGCCAACCCAAATTGTTTCACGGGCCACTTTTATCACGCGTAACATTACAATGGGCCACAATTTAGGCAAACATACTTTTAAAAAAGTAAAACAAATACAAAATGAATAAGATTTCATTGTTATACCAAGAGTTTGTACTCTCACTTGCGCATTATAACAATGACACATGCAAATTTTCATTTATTTAATTGTTTTGGTATACACAAAACGGAAAACGAAAGTTTTAATAGATATATAATATCGCTTAGCAGGCCACACAATTTAGTGTGACGGGTCGCGGGTTGGCCAGGCCTGATTTAAGTATATTAATGGTTAAAATAAAATTAAAAGGCAATCAATTAGATGAACAATATCTATTGAAACATAGTCTACTTAATTACAAAAAACAGTATTGATTAGAAGTGACACAACACTTGTACAAAACTATAAAATAAAAATAAGCTAATCAGTATTTATCAGTTTGTATTTTTTTTAATTAAGCCATGCACTTTTAAAGGTAATTAACTTTTGAAAATATTTTCAAAAATTCAAACGAAATAATAAAAATAACTTGTTCTCAAACTAAAATTAAAAATGAACTTGTTTGTGTTTCTTGGTGTAACATATAAAATATTCAATCTTTTATTTATTTTTACAGGATGGGTTAAAGTGTACCTAGGTAACCCCAATGGCGGCACTTCAGACTGTTCGTGCTCCCGGTGGACTGTTTCTGGAGGGGAGCCGCCGGCAGGCCGCCCATTGTTTAACGTCACTAGTTATTGATTCACGGTAGTCCTTGAACAAAAGAAAAAAAAGGAAATGTCTACTAAAAATGTAGTTAACCTAGCCAAACCAAAGCACTGCCATTGGGGTTACCTAGGTACACTTTAACCACCGGGTGTACTGTGGTGGTATTTTGAATTACACAAAATCATTTTTTTTTTACACTGGTGCCTATTTGTGGTACATAAATCAGTTTGGCCTAGGTCAAACTAGTTAAGCCTAAAGTATTTAGGCCAAACTAGATTATCCTAGGCTAAACTAGTATATCCTGACATGCGTAGGATAAACTAGTTTAGCCTGAAATCGGGTTTGGCCGGTAACATATATACTGTTCAATCTTAGTACATCAATTATTGANACTTCTGATTCAATAATTAAACAAATAATTATTTTTTTGTTGTTTCAAATTTTAGAAAGTGAAGTTTACTTATTTCAAAACTAAGCATTAGCTAGTTTTAAACTGATATTGCGATCGTAAGTTATTGGGTATTATTTTGTGACCTTTTGAAATAACTCGATCTTAGTAAAATTTATTTATAATCAGTGGTGTGTTGATAAATTTTTAACAATCTTCTAGTGTGTGTGGAAATCTATGGTTTGTATTTAGCCACGATTTTACGAAAGATGTATCGTTTCAATCTTTTAATTCTTTTCCTAGTAAATTGATTGTCATAAATTCAGCTCATCAGTTTTTATCTTTGTATAGGCCTACATTACATTTATTAAACTGAAACTTCTTTCAGCTTTTACACTACTAATTGCTATGATATTATTTTTTTCTAGCTTTTTCTATTGTTTCAGGAACTGATACAATTTTTTCTCTATATTATTATTACAAAATCTCTGAAATCATGTTTTTTTGAATTTCAAAATGTTATTTAATATATTTAATTTTCTTTCTCTTTCCATCTACAAGGAAGTTAATTCTTCATATAGATTCATCTAATAAATAAACTAGTTCTACTAATCAGCAGTCAATAAACTTACACTGGAATTTATTTTAAAATATTTTTCTTCATTCAAGAGGAAAAGACTAAGAAAAATTTTTTTAAATTTAGTTCTGTAAAGAGATATAAAAAATATTAAATGTGTTTAATAAAGCTCTAATTCAGAAAGCAGAGACCATATTTTTATTGTTTTCAAATAGAAGTCATGACTTTTAATGTGTAAAACACTTTATCCATTATTTATTCATTCATCAAGAATTTCATTAAATGGGTGGCTAAATTTTAAAAATTATAACAACTGGCTCCAACATGCCACTATTTATAATCATAGATTTTTATTATACTTGCTTGAAAATTAAAATACATCTCTATATGTTAATGCTTGGTAAAAAAAAAGCTTGTGAAATTGACTATTAACTTAATAAAAAGGTCACAGTGAGTAATATTTATAGGTTACTTGCAATTTTTTTTAGCTTATTATACTGTTAACTGTCAGTTCACTTTTTTTAAGAAAATTTTTTCTTATCATATATACAAATTTTTGGTATAGATTTTTATTTTATGTAAGTACAGTAGTACCTCAGGATACGAAATTTTCAGGATACGACATTTTTTATTCACTTATGTTCATCGGTCTCAGTCTGTGTGTTTGCTTTGTCGTGGAAGGATCTTGCTCGATAAAGGAAATCTTGAGATATTATCAGAAAGTGACTGATTTTATTGAAAAGAAACATCCCGAAAAGGTTCACACTGGCCGTATTGCTGCTCAGAGTAATGACATTTGCCNGTTATAATCTTTATCTTAGTTATCGATACTTTTGCCCGAGCAACGCCGGGCCCACCTGCTAGTGTTTTAATAATTAATTTCAATAGTTTTTTTACTTTACTCTTTCCACACTGGAGCTCTAAGAAGGCCTTTTCTCCATACATCATGGATTTGGCTAGGTCCACAATAGGATAGGCCAGCTGGTAAGGGACATAAATAGACTGCCCATAAAAAATTTCTGAGGTTTTTTCACCTGTCCGGATTTGATTGAGTTCTCAGAGGTTGATTCTTTAACTGCCTCATCTATCTAGTCCTCAATTTCAATAGATCATAAGTTTTTAGAATAGTTAACAAATAAGTAATATTTTGACAGAATTTGTAACTTAAGATAGAATTGAAAGAAGACTTGAGGAGTAGTTTTAAAATATGTTTCATCAATACATTTTAAATTATATGAAATCAGCTACATTTATTTTGTTGAGTTTCATCAAAGAAAGTTTATATAAATTTTTCTTATTTTACACTATTATATTTTGAAATTACACAGCAATTTTTAAACCAAAAGAAGTCAGTTTTACGTTTTCAACTCTGATTTTCATTTATTTATATTTAAATGTTTAATCATTAAAATAAAAAAATTAATATTAAATGATAGAAAGAAAAATAAAATGAGTTTAAAAATTGATCACAACTTTCATTATTCATAATTAGATATTCTTTGAATGCATAAGTATTGCATACATTAATTAATAAAATATTTGCAAGAAATAATAATTTTTAATATTTAGAATAGAATATTAAAATTATTAAGAAAATAAAGAAAAATAGAACAAAAATTATTCATAATATATAAATTGAAGCTAAAAATATTTAAAACAGTTAATTAGAATTAGGATAAATGTTTGTTATTAATTATTATTAAACTTGTTGCCATTAATAAAGGTAAATAAAAATTTCTGTTATGAATTGTTATGAAGTTTATAAAGTTTCTCATTTGAGACAAAACAGTTTTTGGAAAAACTGCCCTGTCAACAACTGTTTGTCCCTAAAACAGTTTTATCTCAAAATGAATTGTACTGTACTTGTTCAATTATTCTAGTATTTGGGTTTTTATATTTATTCTGTATAGTCAGTTAGCTTTCAAAGTTTATTTTCTTTTCTAAAAGTGTACCCCTTTCTGTTTACAGCATATCTGGTAGTACGAAATATAGACTTAAATTATGCTATTTTTACAATATTATACATTTAGAATAATCATTATGGTATAATAACAATTATAATTAGAATAGTATAGTCTTGTGATGTAATAATTACCTGATATTTAAACCGAAAATTTGTTTACTATTTTAAAGTATTGTGGAATAACATTATGTTATCTTATATGTATACATATATATGATTGTGAGTAAAGTACAGGCGCATCTCCACTATACTGTTGTTACAGACAAACTGCTTAGAAAATGAAATTTACATAGGCCAGTTTTATTGCAGTAGTGTTAAAAGTTACCATTTGTCATCAAACTGTAAACCTTTGTTTAAATTTATTCTATTATTTAATCATATTTTTAATTTAAAATATATCCTCTCCGCCTCAAATTAGTAATGACTTGCCCCTGGTACACCACACTTTTCTTTTAAGAATACAGTTGTGTCAGTCATATCTCTAACACATTCCAGGGGAAGATTTTAATTGAAATAACGCAACTTCCGGTTTGCATCGGAAGTTCTTACATAGTTAATTGGTGCCTTCTACCACTAACAAGTAAGTTTTCCGTATCGGATTCCGTTCTCGAAATTAAGGAAAGACAGATCGAATTTATAGGTTTACAAATTGCAGTCCAAAAATCTAAATATGTAAATCTTATTACTTTTCATAACTTGAATCATAAAACAAAGTAAAGAAATTGAAATAAGGAAGCAAAAATGCAGAGGAAGCAAAAATGCTAAATAGCGATTAACAGCCATGTTTTATTGCAGTACCTCAGGTAAGAAATGATTTTGTATTACACTACACTGCATTCTTTCATCCCTTAATGATAACTTCATCCATGAAGTTAATGATAGTGGCATGTTATAACTTCACGAATCCCATTTGAATTTGAATTAGGGATGCCGCACCCAGGCAATTGCATTTTTTGCCCATAGGATAACACGCCACTGGTTAACAAAATTATTTTTTGTATATTTTTATTGTTCGATATACTATTTTGTGTATAACGTTACTATTGCAAATTTAAATTTGTTTATTAACCCTTAACTGGTTTCGTAAATTTTACAATCATAACTGGTATCATGGGGGCTGCGCAGCCCCCAAGCAAAATTTGCCTTTAGAGAGCAAGTTTAACAATGTGACAGTTCAAAAGTGCATAAATGCTAAATGGAATCCTTCTTTAGTATAATCAACTTTTATTTATTTATATAATTTTCTTTACTTAATTATTACAAGAGATCACAAAATTGTTACAACTTTTGGTGTATGCTTTTTTTAACAATACAAAAATCTACCCTATTGTAAGTTTTTACCAAAGATATTTTGTTTTCTTATTCTTAAGAAACTAATCTTATAAAAAAGTATCTCTTATAGCCTCTAACTATCATTTGTTAAAAAACCACAGATAATATAATCACTTCTATTTTTAACACTCAGGATCATTTTAACGCAATTACGTAGTTCAGTCTTGACAGTTATCACATAGTATTTTTGTAGTACTATGCACTTTGCAAATAAATTTCAAACAACTGTTGCACTTAGTAGCATATTTACCATCTTTTTTTCCAGCACAAAATGACAACATACTCTTTTCAGGAGATTTC